TTTTTCTTCCCCAAACCTTGCTGCTTTTCCCTATTAGGAAATGATATTTACAATATGAATTGATAGTGATATTCTTTTTTTTTTTTTTTTTTTTTGAGACAGGGTCTCACTCTGTCACCCAGAGTGGAGTGCAGTTGTATGATCTTGGCTCACTGCAACCTTCACCTCCCAGGTTCAAGCGATCCTCCCACCTCAAGGGAGCTACTTCCAAGTAGCTGGGACCACAGGTGCGTGCCACCACACCTGGCTAATTTTTTTATTTTTCGTAGAGACGGGGTTTCACCACGTTGCCCAGGCTGGTCTCCAACTCCTGAGCTCCAGTGATCCACCTGCCTCTGCCTGCCAAAGTGCTGACACAGGTGTGAGCCACCACACCCGGCCAGATGGTGATATTCTTGAATCCCCTAAGGCTAGGTATCAGCCATTGGTTCGTAAGTAATCAGATAACACAAGGAGTTAATTTCAGCTTTAGGAAGCTTGATTTTTGCCTGAGCTTCGTATAATATCCTGTAGCACTTATGCTAATATTGATAGAACAGAAGTTTTCTAGGAAATCTGTTCCAGCATGTTTAGCACCTGGTTCTAAGGAGAACCCATGAAATTCCCAGGGGTTCCCAGAACACAGAAGTATTTGTAGAAGTATTTTGGTTGCATCTGGGTCAAGGACTTTGAGTCAGTTTAGGGTAAAAGTGGAGAGGAAGTATGAAACAATGGCCCTGTGAAAGTACACAGGACCAAAGCAATAACTTCAAGAGAGAAACCACACTGGTAAGGAAATCCGTTTTTCTCTGTGTTCCCAGGGATCTCTTCTTTAAGATTATGTCTTAAAAGGAGCCAAACAAGTTTCTGGAACTGAAGGAGAGGAGTGAACACAAGCCTAATCTAGGAGACTGATAAGTAAAAAGGAATCCTGCTGATCCCTTTTTTGCTTTAATTTTATTGCTGTCCCATGTGGATAGTCCTCTCACCATCCCTCCCCCGTCACACACAAGATGAGTAACTGGACAGGATATAGCTGCAGAGTTTCTAAGATGTTTGAAATGATTTTTTTAAGTTATAAAATTAATACAAAATACATATTTTGGGGAGATTGTTACTGATATTTGCTTTTACTGAATGGTTTAACAATGTTAATGAGTGTGTCTACTCACCAGTACAGGCAGTATCAATGCCAGGTAACCACCAGCAAAGATGGCAAAGCAGATGGTGTAGGTCATAAGTAGTGGAAATGTGGTGGCTAAAGGAGCAAGCAGGTTAGTGATGCCGCAGAGGATGAGGTAAGACTTGTGGTAATGATACTTCTTAATCCAGTTTTGATCAGCAACCCATCCAGAAATAATCTGACTGACCGTCTCGAGGATACCTGGAACAATATTGAAATCTTTTTATTTTCCTAGCCCCTTTGAAAAATGTGAATGCATACAGCATCATTTCCCAAGTAATATGACCTCATCCCGAGGCCAGGATATGTGAGGAAAAAAATGATTTCATTTGTGTACCAAGAAGCTCTATTATTTACTTACCTATTCCAAATACATTTAATAAAATAGCAAAAAAGTCTCCGCTAGAGTTGTGTAGAAGACCCCCGTAGTTAGGGTTTTTTTCTGATTGTGTTTGGAAAGCTTACATCATCACTACAGTGGGAATCTTTGGTTACAGAGGACCCTGGGCGCAGAAGGCCATGCAGTCTCTTTGTCTGAGAGGTCCTGCAAGTGAGAAAATGAAGTTTCTAAAAGACAAATAGACCTTCAGGTCAGTGTCTTGGGGAAATTGTATTGTAGAAGATTGGAGTATAAATAAGTCTTCTGTTAAAAAAGAGATGTTGGGACTCATAATTGTATATGAAGTTTTAGGAATTAAGTCCTCCAAAGTTTATGCTTAATTTGAAAATATGTAGTAAGTTTGGAAATGGGAGATCGTATTTTGGACCACTGCACCTGACCAAATCCCTATCTTCTAGATCAAGCATTCTGTCTTTAAACAGTTTTATGAGTAGCCAGCTAAAATAGTTGCTTTTATTTATTTATTTTCATTTTATTATTATTATTATTTTTGAAACAGTCTTGCTCTGTCGCCCAGGGTGGAGTGCGGTGGCACAATCTCGCCTCACTGCAAGTTCTGCCTCCCGGGTTCGTGCCATTCTCCTGCCTCAGCCTCCCGAGTAGTTGCTACTACAGGTGCCCGCTACCATGCCCAGCTAATTTTTTGTATTTTTAGTAGAGATGGGGTTTCACCATGTTAGCCAGGATGGTCTCAATCTCCTGGCCTCGTGATTCGCCCACCTCAGCCTCCCAAAATGCTGGGATTACAGGCGTGAGCCACTACGCCCGGCCAGTTGTTTTTATTTTTAATTTACATTTTAACTTATTTTAAATATCAGACAATCCATAAGTGACTAGCCTTAAAAGTTGTATTTATCTGTTTTACTATGAGTTCAAGGGAAAAAATCCTTAGCTACAAATAATAAAACATTACTGAATGCTTGCTACAGGCCAGGCACTATTCTAAACTCTACATGCATTGCTTTTTTGATCCTGACAATCTTATGAGGGTAGATACTATTATCCCTGTATTACAGATGAAATGAAGGCACCATGAAGCAAAGTAACTTGCTGAAGTTCCCACAGTTAAGAAACACAGAGCAGGAGGTTGAGCCAGGGAAGTCTTGCTCCAGAACCAATCCTTTGAGCCACTGCACTGTGCTGTCTACCTGGGGTTTTCTGTTCCTTACAATGGCTATTACCACTGAGCATCAGCTTTTTGAAATTTCCACATTTATCTAATAAATAATGTCTACTGTGTCAAACACTGTTATATGAAGATGAGTGAGACTTGTTTTAGTGTCCACTATCTAGTAGGGGAGCCTGTGTGCAGTGACAGAGATCTCTTCCGGGGAAATGCCCAGGTGCTCCATTTAGCCTCAAACATTTTACTTTCTCTGGCCCTTCTACAATTCCTCTTTTGTTTTTCTTTAGCTTTTTGTTAAAATGTAAAAAACTTGTAAAATTAAGTTGATCTTTCCTTTTGGGTAGAAGGCTGACATAGGCTTTCTTACCTGCTACGGAAACGAGGTAAGAGGCATCCATGATGTCAATCCCCAGTGTTTTGGCTCTGGCTACCAGGTGAAAGGTAGGGATGAAGTATGCTAACTGACTGAGGAGAAAAGACCAAGTAAATATGTAGAAGAAAGGATTTCTAAAGAGAGAAATATCAAAGAGTTGTTTGCAGCTCCACGAGATAACCTTATCACTTTCTTCATTACTTTTTAATAACAGTCTGTTCCTGTTAGGCCCATTGTAGAACTCTTCACTTTGATTTTGTGAGACTATTAAATTTTTGCTAGGTAGTCCAGCCTTCTGCGTAGTACTGTCCTTGATGGTAGACTCTTCTGTCTCATCACAGTGTGTTTCTGTTGCACATGCCTCTGGACCACGTGCAGACAAACTGCTGCCTTTATCTTTAATACCAGAATTCTCAGTTTTGATATGGATGGGTCTTAAGAGCATACTAGAAGGCACCAAATTCAGTGCAATAGCTCCAAATAATGTAAGGGCACCTAAATAGGAGGGAGAGATTGAGCAATTAAAAATAGCCTTTCAGTTCACAATATTGCTTTGTGTTCGTAGGCTCAGAAGAGGCCCCACTGGCATAGCCCATTAATTCTTGAAAACATTACTTTGTCTCCGATTTGACTTATTAGTCATATACACTGCAGTATCCATGTACTGATGTAGTGCTTTGGAGATAGAGAACCAGAAAGCTGCACCAATAGATGGGATAAAAGGAGAGGTGGTGGTTATTTGTGTTAAGCATTGGGGGGGGGGGGGGGGGGGCAAGTTTTTGGAGGGAGAGGAGGGTATTTTAAATGCTAAAATATTAAATAGAAAATTTAGGCCGGGCAGTGACTCACGCCTGTAATCCCAGCACTTTGAGAGGCCAAGGCGGGCGGATCACGGGGCTGGGAGATTGAGACCTTTCCTGGCTAACACAGTGAAACCCGTCTCTACTTAAAAATACAAAAATTAGCCAGGCGCAGTGGCGGGCGCCTGCAGTCCCAGCTACATGGGAGGCTGAGGCAGGAGAATGGCGTGAACTTGGGAGGCGGAGCTTGCAGTGAGTGGAGATTGCGCTACTGCACTCCAGCCTGGGCAACAGAGCGAGACTCCGTCTCAAAAAAAAAGAAAGAAAATTTAAATATCCTGAAGTGAGAGTACAGATTTAGGTACAGAAAAAATAGAATAAGATGAAATAAATCATTTGGAAACAACCTTAGAAGAGGGGACACCTGGCCAGATGCTATGGCTCATGCCTATAGTCCTAGCATTTTGGGAGGCTGAGGCAGGCAGATCACTTGAGCCCAGGAGTTCAGGACCAGCCTGGGCAACATGGTGAAAACCTGTCTCTACAAAAAATACAAAAAAAATTAGCCTGGTGTGGTGATATTCACCTGCAGTCCCAGTTACTTGGGAGGCTAAGGTGGGAGGATTGCTTAGCCTAGGAGGTGGAGGTTGCAGTGAGCCGATGTTATGCCACAGCACTCCAGCCTGAGTGACAAAGAGAGCCTATCTCAAAAAAAAAAAAGGCAGGGGGAGGAAGGCATGGATAGCCTTTCATCCCATGACATTTTTTAGATCTTCCTTAAAAGATGACAGATGCTAATCTTGCCTTTGAAGCTGAATAGTTGCTTGCATTCAGCATGTCCTGATCAAAGCTATGGCTTGTATGGTGCTTCTAAAGATAGAATAGGCTATAGGTTCTGCTATCCTATCATGGATTTGTCAGCTGGTCCCATTCACCATGAGACTACTGAATAGTTAGGAAAGATTCAACAAAACTGCCATGTAGATAGCAATAGGCATGAATATATATATATACATATATTTTTTCCAGTAGTTTAAGATTATTGTAATCCAAATGTCTTAGTTACAAAGAAAATTGTGAGATGAATCATTTTTTATTCATTTGTGAAAATTTATGGTTGACATTATATAAACTATTAAGGAACATACTCTTTTTACCAAAGTATTTTTCATTTTCATCTATTTTAGTGAGTCTGATGGAGGAGGCATTTTTTAAATGCATATTTTTGTCTTAAAGGGAAAATGGGAAAAGTGAGTGTTTTGAGGGAGGAAGGGGGACGCCTTGTTTCCCCAGGAGTATCGCTTTTACTGCAAGCTGTTTCCAGCTGCACGGAATGCCCTTCATCTCCTCAGACGTTGAGCCCTATGGTAAATTCTGAGTTGAGTATGAGCTGGCAAAGCCTGCAAGTATTTCAAGATCTCCTCTGCATATGTATTCTCCAGGGAAGAGAAGCATATTTACTTTAGAAATTATGCTCATTTCCTCTCTTGCAATACCTTGTGAAATCGATTGCTCTAAAAGTCTTAACTTCCAGTTCTCAAAGGGAGAAAGCTGAATGCTAAATCTTGCACAGTTGATAGTAAAGAAACTTAGAATGACTTACCTGTCCAGTCATACAGATCTATAAGGAATTTTGTAAAGGGTGCCAACAGAAAAGTCAGTCCCATCCCAGAACGGGCAATAGCTGTAGAAAGAGCCAATCGTTTTTTGAAGTATTTGGTAGTTACCACAGCAGCTACTTGGTATAAGAAAGCAGAACCCAAACCTAAAAGAAAAACATAATAGTTTAGAATCACTCTCACATTAAGTGGCTTGGTACCAGAAAAGATAATTTCCTGGATCCAAGATAATAGGCCTTTTGGGCCCAGGAACAGTAGAAGGGAAGGGTCCTGTTCCATCTTCTATGGATAGATGCATATATATATATACACACACAGACACACACACACATATATACATATATATACACACACACACACACATATTTTGAGACAGGGTCTCACTTTGTCACCCAGACTGAAGTGCAGTGGCGCAGGCTCGGCTCACTACAGTCTCAACTTCCTGGGCTCAAGCAATCCTCCTGCCTCAGCCTCCCAAATAGCTGGGACTACAGACATGTGCCACCACTGGCCTGGCTAATTTTTGTATTTTTAGTAGAGACAGGGTTTCACCATGTTGCCCAGGCTGGTCTGGAACTTCTGGACTCAAGTGATCCACCCGCTTTGGCCTCCCAAAGTGCTAGGATTACAAGTGTGAGCCACCACTCCCATCCTTCTATGGTCACATAATTACAAGGAACTCACCAGGTAGAAGTCCCATAGTCACACAAAGAAAAGGAACACTTGTGGCCCAGCTGCTGATCAGATATCCACCAGTAACAAGGAAAGCCCCAAGAATGGAGGTAGTTTTCTCTCCAAGTATGTCACAAATAATAGCAACCAGGGGACCTTAAGAGAAGAAAGAAAGGCAATTCTTAGGTAAATATGATCTGGCATCTCTTATCCTCTGATGGCGATTTAAATGAATGACAAGGAAAGCAAGAGGACTGTTTACTTTGAAGTATTATGTATTCTTCACAAAATATTTTCATATCGGGTTTTTTAATATCACTAGTCTCATACTATTTTAGTTTTTGGAAGGGGAGTTTAAAAGAAAATGTTTATTGCAAATAAGGTTTGGAGGGCAGGTGTTTTGAAATTCATTATAGAACCTCCACGAAAAGATTGCATATAGTGGTCAATGACTAGAATAAGGTTGAATCACTTATCTGCTCTTCCATCCTGTTACAGCTCCAAATAAAAGGGGAGAAATTGGTTCTATAATTTGTTTTGAGGCTGGACGCCGTGGCTCTTTAATCTCATACTTTGGGAGGCCAAGGTGGGCAGATCACCTGAGGTCTGGAGTTTGAGACCAGCCTGGCCAACATGGTGAAACCCCATCTCTACTAAAAATACAAAAATTAGCCAGGCATGGTGGCGAGCGCCTGTAATCCCAGCTACGTGGGAGGCTGAGGCAGGAGAATCGCTTGAACCTGGGAGATGGAGGTTGCAGTGAGCCAAGATTACACTACTGCACTCCAGCCTGGGCAACAGAGTGAGAGTCTGTCTCAAAAAAAATAAATAAATAAATAAATAAATAAATAAAATTGTTCTGAGTATACTTAGATAACTAGAACTTCATGGCCTAACTTCCAGGTTGAGGGCCTTACTCACTGAACCCATATTAAGGCATTAACAGACTGGAAAGGCAATGCATGAAATACTGAATCATGGCATTTAATAATTCTTCATCTTTCTTTCTTTGAATGCTGATTCTCCCAACTTTGTTACTAAGTCAAGTGGAAGCTAAATATTGCAATTCCTTACTTTCTTAGTGTTACATAATGAACCTGAATTTTAGCAATGCTTCAGTCTGGAATAGGAATCTTGGAATTGCCCTTTGTGGTTTTTCTCTTTGGACAGCAAGCTTATTGCCAGCCTTATACCTGCACAAAAACGAAGAGATGACATGATGGATCCAATCCAACCAATTTGCTCTGAGGTGCCTTCAAACTCTTCTTGAAAGACCACAAAGAAAATTGCAAAAGTCTTGGTCATCCCCATCACAAACACATTCACCTAAATCAAAGCAGACCAGAGTCCAACTCAGGTGGTAAGTCAGCCATTACAGAGGCAATTACGGCTACTAGAAGTTATGATTCCCTTAACCTACAACTATTTACCAGTTTGCCTTATTGGTTGAGCCTCATTATACATCTTATATTTTATGGGGGAAGTCATTACTTTTAAAGTAGCTAAGCATTTTAAATGGAAACATCTCATTTAATCCTCATTTCATGGCTTTGGAATAGGCATGCCAGTGTTGTATACCAAATAATTTATACCAAATAAACCATGCAATGGGTTCACCTTGCCTGCTGCCTAGATACAGCTGATATATCAAGACGGGAATTGGCAGTAGAGAAAGAGTTATTCCCACAGCGCCCATTGTGCAGGAGACTGGAGTTTATTATGCCAGTCAGTTTCCCTGAGGTTTTGGGGATCAGAGTTTTTAAGGATAATTTTGTGGGTGGAATGCCAGTGAGTTGGGAGTGCTGATTGGTTGGGTCAGAGATGAAACAAAGCTGCCCTTTTGTGCCTAGTCACTTCTGGATGGAAGGGCAGGGGCAGGGGCAGGGCCGGGGGGACCCATGACGAGATAAACCAGTTTATTAATCTGGGTGGTGCCAGCTGATCCATCAAGTGCAGGGTCTGCAAATTATCTCAAGCACTGATCTTAGGTTTCATAATAGTGATGTTATCCCCCGAGCAATTTGGGGAGGGTCTGTCTTGTAGCCTCCAGCTGTATGATTCCTAAACCATAATTTCTAATCTTATGGCTAATTTTTAATCCTACAAAGACAATCTAGTCCCCAGGCAGAAAGGAGGTGGTTTTTTTTGTTTGTTTTGTTTTTTTGGGGGGGGTTTTTTTGGAAAGGGCTGTTAGTTTCTCTTTCAAAATTAAGCTATCAACTAAGTTTCCCCCAAAATTAGTTCAGCCTACACATGGGAATGAACAAGGACAGCTTGGAAGTTAGAAGCAAGATGGAGTTGGTTAGGTCAGATCTCTGTCTCCGTAATAATTTTCTCAGTTATAATTTTGCGACAGCAGTTCCAAGATCAGGAAATTGAAGTTTAGAGAGGTAAAAAGTTGCTTAAAATAGGGGTACTGGAACTGAGATTTGAACCCAGATTAGACTGACTCTAGATCCGGTACTCCTCTACTGCCCTCAGTAGCATCTGTTAAAGACAGCTAATTTCAGTTACCTTTGTGGGAGAAAAGTGTTTGTCCATAAGAGGAATAATTATTCCTGTCAGTTCTTAGATTAGTTTTGATTTAACTCTGCTGCTGAGCTGCGTACCTTCCTTCACTTGATATATAAATAGGTTGACCATATAATGTATCATCCAAATTGAGACACTCAAGAGTGAAAAGGAGTGCTTAATTTTGGATTAACTGGGATGTATGGTCACCTTAAGGTTGGGCCAGGTGCCCCATCCTTTTCTTCCTGCCCCACCTAATCTTCCTTACCTGCACTCCACTAGAATTGCTGCTTTGGAGATGAGGTTTTCTTTCTGTGGAGTATTAACTTTTATTTCTCAGAATTCTAGTTAGCCGGGGGGCTGTTAAGTGCTATTCTTTCTTTCCCTTTTTGAGTAACAGTCATACTTGATCCCACAGGGGTCTAGAGGGGAAACCTAGCCAGGGTTTGCATTCAGTCTCAAAGCCCAGGAGCCATGTGTACTCTCTATCTCCAGGGGCTTCCTGGCTTCCCCTTTTCCTTTCCTTGTTTCAGTAGCACTGGCTTTTCAGGGCCACCTCTGCTTTCAACCTGGCCGTGCATTGCTTATGAACCATAAAACCAGCTGGGCATGGAGGCTCCTGCCTATAATCCTAGTACTTTGGGAGGCCAAGGTGGGTGGATCGCTTGAGCCCAGCAGTTCAAGACCAGCCTGGGCAACATGGCAAAACCCTGTCTCTACAAAAAGTACAAAAAATTAGCTGGGCGTAGTGGTATAACACCTGTAGTCCCAGCTACCTGGGAGGGTGAGGTAGGAGGATCACCTGAACCTGGGAGGTCAAGGGTACAGTGAGCTGTGATCACACTATCTGCACTCCAGCCTGGGTGACAGTGAGACCTTGTCTCAAAATTAATAATAATAAAAGAACCACAAAGCCTTAGGTTCCCTTTCATTAATGCCACTTTCTCAGCCCATCTGTTACAGTTCTGTACTCATCTCGCTTAATACCTGTTCCCTGGACAATCATTCACTCTCAAGGTTTTAATTACCATCTGCATACTTATGGTGGTGTAGCTGAATAGGGTTCTGCAATCAGTCTGCTTTAACTTGCATCCAGGCTGTGCTTCCTACTGGGGCGTGACCTTGGGCAAACTACTTCGCACATCACAGGGGTTAAGCTTCCTCTTTTATGATGGAGGGGCGGCGGTGGGGGATGAAAATGTTACCTAGCTCATAAGACTGTGAAGAGTAATTGAGAAAATTCTGATACAGTACTTAATATTTGGCACTTAACACTCAAAACAATTAACTGTGGTTTCCATTCTGCTTTCCCGAGAGCTTTAAATTCCTCTAATTGTCTACCATATCTTTATAACTTCTAGTCAACTTGTCCAAACATAAACTCACATTTCCCTTATCCTATGCCTACTCTTTTCAGTTTTTTCTATTGGTACCATTCACTCATTCATTTGAATGAGAGATGTGCTTTCTCTTAGATACCTCCCTCCCTCAGCCCCTGCTTTTAAATAATCGTCAAGACCTGCCCCCTTCTTTTCACCCCATCACTATTGGCGATGCTCAGAAATTGCAACGGTGGTAGTGGTGAGGAAGAAGTCTCTTAATATACTTTTCCCCTTTCTGATTTGATAAAAGGAACAAACTTATTTAGAATGAACAGTGCTATAAACGCCAGGACTATATATTCAAAAGTTAAAAAGACATTTTATCAGGCCTCCATTTAGGCAATTTATAACCATAATTTTCCTCTAAGGCACTTCTGTCAGGCTAGAAATTAGGCTAGAAAATATACACAGATCTCAAATGACTTGGACTTTCTTCTGTCAGTTCATAATAATGTGGTGATTGTGTCCGTTCATGAGCAAGGAGTACTAAAATGCATCATTCTGTAAAATAAACTTCCTTTTGTTCTGTGCTGGTATCTAGAGGATGTTGACCTCTATATTCTTAGCTACCTAAATTTAGCTAGCTCCTGGTCCCCCAGTTCAGAGCTTTTTGTCTCTGATTTGTCCTTGATGTCTGGGTGTAGCAGCAGTGAATGGTTAGGACTTGTCTCTAATAACTGGGTCCGTGTCCACTGTGTATGAAGAAGACCAAGGGCAGAGCCTTTGCACCTACTATGCTTACTGTCCCTTAACTTGAAGTCTTCCAACTTTGTTTGAGTTTTGACTCAAAGATATTAAAACTCTCTCCCAAGGTGTAGGTTTTTTCTTAGTTAATTTAGCAGACGACATAAATCTGCACTTTCTACATAATTCCATGTCTTAGACCAAGCTTGGTAGGTTTCAGTTCTGTTACCAGAGTCCACATCATACATGGTAAATGACTCACTCCAAAATAAAGCAAAAACCCTAGAACTTCTCCAGTCCCCTCATTTTCTTTTTGTCTTTAAGAGCAGTTAATTGGGTTGAATCTGGCAGGAACACCTTAAGCAGGCCTTCCCCACACCCCACCTCCAGTAAGAGTTTCCTCACTAGATCATTTTAATTATTGTCTTGGGAAAGGAGTTGGATCAGCCTCAGTGACTTATTTTCAATACAGGGACCAGGCTTTGTCAGAGTTAGTTTTATCTAATAACAACTTCTTATCCTGCATCCCTTTCTAGTACCACCCTAGCTCCTCCTGACCTTCACAGGCAAGTTTCTGTAAAAAGTACTCTATTAGGTATCTCAGCTTTCTGTCATTCCGCTACTCCACTGAAAACTAAAGTTCACTACCTTTGGCCCCCACTGCTCCACTGTACTAGCTCTTATCAAGGTTATGGGACTTTTTTGTTGCTAAACCAATAGACTCTTGTTATTTCTCTCCTATTTGACCTCTCAGTAGCATCTGCTTATCACATTTCTCTGAAATGCAAATCTATGACATCCCTGCTTAATTTTTCCCGTTAGCTTCTCATAGCCTCAAGAGCCATTTTCATCTCTTCAATTTCATCAACTATCCCCTTCATCCTTATTTGTTTATTCATAAATGTGTGCAGCTATCAATTCACCCATCTATCCATCCACCAACAGTATTTACTGAGTGCCTACTACATTCCAGGCTGTATACTGGCACTGGGCTTACAGAAATGAGCGTATACTCATGAGCAATGCAGACGAAGGCCCTGCCCCCACAGAACATTCAGTCTAGTAAGACAGACTGAATACAGAAAACAGTCATACAAATATATAAAGTGTGGCAAGTTGGTTAGAATGAATCTCTCTCTCTTTTTTTTTTAAGTAGGAAGCTCCCAAAGAACATTGTTATTTTTCACTTACCAGGAGCTCCTCTGTTATAGAAAAGAACACTTGTAAGTCATACAGAAACAAAAGCACAGTCATTCAAGTGTGCACATTACAACTGTGGGGGATTAGCCTCTGAATTTATTGTTAACATTTTGAGGATCCAGTGCATTTTTTGTGCTTAGTAAGCAGTATCACACCCTAAAAGTGGTACAGTGTTTATTAATCTGGTTATTAGATGGTTTTTCTTACGAGCAACTGAATTGGTCAAAAACCATTCTATCCTCAGAGGATAATGTAGAAAAAGTCAGGGTGGTTACTGGGGAGAAAGGCAGGAGAATTAGAGATCCTCACCAACAGTGCCCATTCTGCAAAACCTATGATTTAGGGAGGTGGCCCAGCCACAGGAAGGGCTCTCAGACTTAGGGCATCCTTTAGTTTCTCTATTAGTAACATTTCTGGGAGGAAAATGAGATTCCACATTCTTCAGTACTGAAGCTAATGTTTAGCAAGTACTACCATTATGTGTTAGGAGTTTTGTATTACATAAATCCTGGCTGGGGACCTCTGCCCCTAACTTCTGTAGCACTAGGGAGGAGGCCTGATGTTTTCCCACCATCCTATTTGTAGAGTTCTTAGTTATCTGCATGTGAACTATAGGATTATTAGAAGGCACCAGGACTTGAGCTACCCTTCCCTGTGAACTGCTTACTGTAGGGCTGAGTAGGGGAGAAGTGTCGGCAAGAAGGGTATTTTTTTGAGTGCATGTGCCGCTGGTGCTGCTCTCTGGAGAGCTGTGTGGGGCATAGCTGGGATTCACCGACATTCTGGAATGGGCATGCTGATGATGTAGATCACCACTGTCACACCTCAACCCCTGGGAGGGTGAGGGAAAGAAGTTAATTTAAAAAATGGAATGCCTAGTCTAGTTGCTTAGGGGTGAAGGAGAAAAATCAGGCTCCCCCTTCAAAATCCGTGTCCTCCCTTTCCAAACACATTGGAAATATAGATAGCATAAACTATAGTTAGTGGGGATGGATTGGGAAGTAGACAGCAGGCCAGAGGAAACGTCCCCACCCCTTATCAGTGGAGGGGGCTGTGCCAGCAGTGCTCTATCTATGCTGGGCTGAACTGGGGAGACCACCCCCAGAGCACTTTTTAGCACCTCTCAGTGCTACTTTTGGGATGGTTAAAAGTATGATTGTCCCCAAACCCTAACTGCCATGCAGCCAGTACAGAACTGCTGATTGTGACTGAACATTCTCAGGTTTAAGAGGTGGTAGACAGGAAGATTAGAGGACTGGATTCAGGAACGTTTCTGTTTGTTTGTTTTGAGAGAGTCTCTCATGGTTGCCTAGGCTACAATGCAGTGGCAGGATCTTGGCTCACTTCAGTCTCCGCCTCCTGAGTTCAAGCAATTCTCCTGCCTCAGCCTCCCAGGTAGCTGGGACTACAGGCGCACGCCACTGCACTCAGCTAATTTTTGTAGAGATGGGATTTCACCATGCTAGCCAGGCTGGTCTCGAACTCCTGACTTCAAGTGATCCGCCCATCTAGGCCTCCCAAAGTGCTAGAATTATAGGCGTGAACCCCCACACCCAGCCCAGGAACATTTCTGCTTTCGCTCCAGGGGTATTTTCAGCTTTCTCCTAGGTTGGGCATGGGCCTCTGACTTTAGCAGTTTTTGGCAGCTCCTGGCCTTGTTCCTGCCCACCCCTCCAGTCAGGTGCCAAAGATTTCCTAAGTGATCTTATTTGTAGGCAGCCCTGAGCCTTTCTCCAGAAAGCCTGCTTTCAGGCAATAGGAAAGGGGGAAAAAAGCGAAATCTTACCGGGAAAAAAGCGAAATCTTACCAGGAAAAAATGAACCACAATCATCCATCCCCATCCTCCATCCGGGGTTTCAGTGTAAGGTCGGGCCTTCCCCTCCCTCTTCAGCATGATGCCTCTTCTATTTTAAATGCAGAAGATCCCTGTGATAAATCCAAGACAGTTGATTCAGTGGACCAGAAACTAAACTTTTAAACTTTTTTATCTGAAAGGGAATGTTCATACATTGTTGGTGGGAATGCAAATTAGTTCAGCCACTGTGCAAAGCAGTTTGGAGATTTCTGAAAGAACTAAAAATTGAACTACCATTTGACCCAGTAATCCCATTCCTGGGTATATACCCAAAAGAAGATAAATTGTTCTACCAAAAAGCCACATGCACTTTTATGTTCACTGCAGCATTATTCACAGTAACAAAGACATGGAATCAACCTATGTGCTCATCAAGAGTGGGTTGGATAAAGAAAATGTGACACATAGACACCATGGAATACTACACAGCCATAAAAAAGAACAAAATCATATCCTTTACAGCAATATGGATGCAGCTGGAAACCATTATCTTGAGCAAACTGATGCAGAAACAACCAAATACTGCATGTTCTCACTTATAAGTGGGAGCTAAACATTGGGTACATAGGGATGTAAAGATGGGAACCACAGTCACTGGGGACTACAAGATAGGGAGGGAGGAGGGTTGAAAAACTCCCTATTGAGTGCTATGCTCACTACCTGGGTGACGGGTTCAATTATACTCCAAATCTCAGCATCACACAATATACCTCTGTAGCAAACCTACACATGTACCCCCTGAATCTAAAATAAAAGTTGGAATTTAAAACAAAACAGCAAAAATCCTTTTTTCCTCTGATATAAAACCACTTGTAATTTTTCTGAAGCCCCTCAGTTACAGATGAAGTCTGCCTGATGCAACTAAGGACTTAGTTACCTGGAAAGCCTGACCTCAGTGACTGTAGGGTGGCCAATCTGAAAACTGTACTCAGTGTCCCTCGCCCCAGGTCTGCAAGCCAGTTTCTTGGGGAAGCTGTACATCACCCTGCTGGTCCTCTGGGTGAACTCTCGACTTAAGAGATAGAAAGGGAAGGGAAGCCTTGAGTTTAGGAATTCTCCTTAGAAAACACTTGCTAAATGTAAATATTTTTGGAGCTAAACAGACGTGACAACGAAATGCGATACCCGCTCATTGAATATATCCTAGATCAGAAAAAAAGTTGTAAAAGACAGTTTGTGGGGACAATTGGGGAAACTTGAATATGGACTGTATAATACAGAATACCAAAGTTAACCTCTTGGATATGATGGTGATCTTGTGGTTCCACAAGAGAATATTCTTAGGAGATACATGCTAAAGTATTCAGGAGTAACATGACACTGTGCTACCTTCTCACAATCGGTTCTGTAAAACAAACAAGTATATATAAAGAATGATAGCAAAAAGAAAATGTAAATGTTCTGAGGAAGGGGGAACAGTACTCATTATTTTCCCTGGTGGGTTGAAGGCTGACTGTTTCTAACTGAAAAGGAAAGTCAGCTGGCAGGGTGTGCAGAATGGCCATCTGGTGAGCAGGCTGGGTAGGGAGAGATGCCAGTCATCGAAGACGTCGTAGAAAACCAACCCAGCACACAGTCCCATTCCCATCTTACCTTTGATGTGGTGTTCAGCAAAGAAATCCTCCACAGATCGGGCAATTAAGGAAGAAAAATAAATTACACCATTTTCTGGAATGTTACTCTTTTTCTAAGGCATTTCATTTTACTGCACTGTGAAAACAAGTAAGCATTGTAAGAGCCAAGGAGGGCTCAGACGATTTAGGCCCTCCTGCTAGTGGACTTTACTTCCTGAGGGGAGGAGGAAGGACTGTGATTTGATGTCATCTCAGGCCCTCCCTCCACCCACAGTCGCTCAGAAGGTAGAATTTTTTGCCGCAGGCTCAAAAGCAAGCATAGAGTAAACTAAGTGGAAAGTCCTTTTGGCGACTATGCTCAGGGCAGGGGGATGGGGCTCCAGAGCTCTCATACACTTGTCTTCAAAGTTCCTCAGGGAACTTCTCATGACATGCTTATTTTACAGGAGAATATAAAACTGGATGAGTGGCGAGAGAGGCATTTCCTGGGCCACAAACAGTAATCTTCAGTAAGCTCAACCCATTCGTGTGGCCTTTTGTATATTGACTAAAGATTCTGCTTACTAATTTGGGGTTTCAGACCCCATTTTAATTGCATTTTTGAGACCTGATTACCTCAACCACCTCCTGCAAAAGATGTATGCTCGTAGTAACTTTAATGAGATGGTTTTTTATTTTGGAAATGGTTAGGGCTGAGACTCCTAGAAAATTACTGGGATAATTCAACTTTCTCTTCCCATTTCCTCCCTCTACTCTACCCTCCACATAAAACGAAACAAAACAAACAAGTCAAATGGGAAATTGTCTTTCGTCTCCCACACCAATATTCCAGATTTTAAACCAGAGTATATTTTAGATGAAAGGATGTGTTTTTAGTTTTATCTGGAAAATCTGCACATATTTATGCATGCTCCTTTTTAAAAAGCAAGAGGCTTCTCAGGTTCTTAAAAATCAAACCCTATAACACTTTTTGATTAAAGTGCTTGCAGAAGGACAGCTTAGTTGTTTGGGAGGGTGTCCTGTAAGTGTAACCATGGAAGGATTATGCGGTTACATGATGCTGGTGGCA